CACGCTGCACGCCCCCCACCCCCCCCACCCCACCCACCACCCCCACCTTCTCGTGCCCCGCCAGGTCCACCAGCGTCACCACCTTGGACGCCCGCGCCACATAGTCGGCGATGGACTGCGTGCGGAAGGCGGCGTCGTTCAGGATGCCGCCCCGGCTGTCCAGGCACAGGTTGTGCTGGCCGATGGACGAGGTGCGGCCTGCGGTGGTGGTGGTGGTGGTGGTGGGGAGGGCAGTACAAGAGTGTGGTGGGCGGGGGGGGGCATGGCACGCATGCGGGGGCGTGTGCGCGGGTGGCCAGCCGCTGTGGAGGCAGGGGCGCAGCCTGAGCAGGCGGGGCCCGGCAGGAGCTGCAGCCCTGCCCAGCAGGCGCTCTCCACACTCCACACCCAAAACAGAGCAGCCAAGACGTGCGCCTCTGCCTCCGTGCACAAGCACATTGCCTGCAAGGCCGCGCCGCCGCCAGGGCCCCGCCCCTGCCCCCTGCGGCTCACCCGTGTCCACCTCGTGGCCGTGTCGGAACACCTTGGAGCGGGCAAAGCCGCGCCCGTCGTCCAGCACAGAGCGCGTCAGCACGCCCACCATGGTGGACTTGCCGCTGTCCACGTTGCCCACCACCGCCACGCGCACCTCCAGCGGCGGCGCGGAGCCCACGCGCCGCCGGATGCACACGTCGGCCACAGACATGTCGGGGGCGCCCACGCTGGGGGCGGCCACCTGGGGGTGATGATGGTGGCCGGGGGGAGGTAGGGAGGGCAGGCAGGCAGGCAGGTGGGTGGGCGGGTGGTTGAGGACACGGCGTGCCAAAAAGTAGGGCCGCGAGGGCGCAGCTGGCGGCACCATCCGCGCGCCCGCCCGGCCAGGGGCGCCCACCTTGCGGCGGCGCACCACCGTGACGTCGGCGCCGCGCTCGCCCATGTGCGCCTCCACCGCCGCCAGCAGCTCGTCCAGCTGGGGCTCGGTGAGGGAGGTGGGGCCGTAGCCGTCGGGGGCGCCTGGGGTAGGCGGGGCAGGCGGGGCGCAGGTGGGGCGATCGCGGGCAACGCCTGGTGCATGCACCGCGCCCGCCAGAACAGCCGCAGCAAGCCACCAAGGCGACAGGCCCTCTGCCCACGAGGCCCTATCCCTGCAACCCCTCCCTCACGCCTCTGATGCCCCGGTCCCAGCACCTACCTCCCACCTCCACCCACCCCCACCTGCCACCTCCACCCACCCCACCCACCC